ATATTTACTTAAATAGCTTGATAAGACTTTCAAAAAGTGAACAAAAATAAAAAATAATTAACTTACACTAGTTTATCCCTTTTTCACTTTTATATAAACATTTGTCACCTCTAGAGTTTGTGGCTGTTCTCATTGCTTCTTTTTCCACTCCTGTTTTTTTTTCAGTCCTGATGGAAAACTAAAGCTTTGCGGAGACAACTAGGGAGTAATGTTATCTAACCATGGAACTTAATTTCTTTCTACAGAGATCAGAAATTTTAAAGTCACATAAAAATACAGATCAGATTTTTGAAAATACATTTTAGAACATAGAATGGTAACGATGAGAGAGATTTATACGTATTCATTTTTTAAAACTTGTTTATTTTTATTTTCTTTTCCTGAAATAGGTAAGATGCCAAAACTTGTGTTATTAAGGAATAGTTTGCACACAGCTTTAAACTACATGACCTGAGGGATTTGCAAATAAATTTCTTTCCTAATGAATTTGTTTGTTGCACTTTTTAAAGTCTGGACATCCCACATAGGATTGAGCAAAGATGTTGCTGTTATTTCAGGTGAATATACCTTTGTGCTCAGAAATACTCATTTCCTCTCTCAGCTAAAATATAGTCAAACTTTTTATTAGCATCACAGACCCTAATATAATGGTGTAATAAGCTAGTAGGCATGTTAGCTTAGTTTATGTTGTAGGTTGTTACTGGAACATGATTGGTAGTGAGACGTAGGGTTTGCTTTTTAGTTTTGGCAAAACATAAATCTTTTCACTTTGGAAGGAAGACCTACATCTTTATTTCCTTATAGACATGCAGAAATAATTTCAAAGTAGTAATCAGTTTTTGTTTATTTCATATAAGTAGTATTCCAGGTAGAAATGATATCATGAAATTATAAAATAAGTTGCAGTTATTGTAACGAAATAGTTCTGAAATAATTTCAGTTTGTGGTTTTGGAAGGGAAGAGTTACCACTGGGTCTGTAACTCTTTTCTCCATTTTTTTCCCTTTTCTCTAACGAATCTCCTTATAATTATTGACTGCTGGCTTTGCTGGATAAGTGATAAATAAGGACCCTGCAGGAGGTGAGTGGCTCAGTACTGATTATTGAACTTGGAATGCTTCAATCAGAATATATTTCTGTAAAATATTTTATTGTAAATAATCCCATAGTCTCTGTATTTCTGGACTGCAGCTAAGCCAGTTCAGGGTATGAAACTAGCAGAGTACAAAAGTCGAGAGACCTCAGAACCTATTAAACACATCCTCTAGTGCGCAAAACAAATCCTGGTACCAAAAAGAAGGGTGCAGAAGCTACACCTGCTGAATTTGGACTTCCTGGATATCAAAGGGGCTTAGGCTACTTCTCTTTTTTTTTTTTTGAGATGGAACCTCAAGTTATCCCCCTGGGTAGAGTGCCATGGCATCACGCTCACAGCAACCTCCAACTCCTGGGCTCAAGCAAGTCTCCTGCCTCCGCCTCCCAAGTAGCTGGGACTACAGGCGCCCGCCACAACGCCTGGCCATTTTTTGGTTGCAGCCATCATTGAAGTTTGGCGGGCTCGGGCTAGGGATTCGAACCTGCCACCTTAGGTGTATGTGGCTGGTGCCTTAGCCTCTTGAGCCACAGGCGCCGAGCCGGCTACTTCTCTTTTATGGTATCCTTTGCAAATAATTTTTAAAATTTATACATATGTCTCTTGGAAAATTTGAGCCTCTGTGACCTTGAAATTATGTAATATATTTTTTAGAAATTCAATTTTAATAAAAGTTTTGTTGTATCAGTAGCAATGTGTTAGTAGTGACATGTTAGAAAGAAACATACTATGGCGGTAATATTCGCAGTCAGAAGTCCAGCAGCTATTTCTTTAGCTCTTATATACACCAGACACTGAGCTAGGCCCTCAGTTACCTCCTATATGTTGCAATTTTCCAACATTTAAGAGGAAATTAATAAAGCTTAAGCCTCAGTACATTCTTTTGCATGGGATCCACTTAAGACCCTGAGAACTTTCTAGAAATAGATTCACCCGGTTCTATAATTGGCAAAATTTGCCAAAGTAGGATACTTTGATCATAATCACTTAAGAACACTGACTTTCCACTCCAATTTCTCTTTGTCATTGTTTCTTTTTTTTGCAGGGTGTAAAAGGACCCAGTGTAAAAGAAATTCAAATAAAGATTCTTTTATTTGTGTTTTGTATGCTATGTTGACATGGCGGTATATAATAATATGGCAGGAAGTTAATATTGTGCATAAATAATGTCAGTGATCTGAGTGTAGACATGGCATCCTGGAATAATTCTATTACCCATTGTTATGATGACCAAAGTAAAGAGCACAGAGTTTGTACCACGGTGTGTGTGAGTTTTATGATGCCCAGAATGTGCGATCCTTTAGGAGTAGAAGAGAAATAAGGCTGAAAATGTACAGACTCAGAAGCTCATCTGTAAAAAATTCTCACAATTTTTGTAGTACATATGTGAAAGAAATGTATGCAAAAGAGCTTTTTGAAAATTTTAAAATAAATTTTGAAATTAAAATTATACAATAGCAAAAAAAGATGTGAAATTGAAACTAGAAGAAACTTCATGATCTGGCTTGTTAGAGAAATGTACTCTGCAGAGAGGCCCTGAGTGAGATTTCAGTCAAAAATATAAATATAAAATGATCACTGAAGTGTATCAGAAAGTTAATTTAGAACATGTTTTTCCCCCAGATTTTCTGATGTTTTTCATATGGATCATTTCATTTAAAAAAATAATACTCTGGTTGGTGCCTGTAGCTCAGCAGCTAAGGTGCCAGCCACATACATCAGAGTTGGTGAGTTCCAACCAGCCTGGGCCAGCCAAACGACGACGACAACTACAACAGAAAAATAGCTGGCTGTTGTGGCAGGCACCTGTAGTCTCAGATACTTGGGAGGCTGAGGCAAGAGAATCACTTAAGAATCAAGTTGGAGTTGCTATGAGCTGTGACACCACAGCACTCTACCAAGGGCAACATAGTAAGACTCTGTCTCGAAAAAAAAAAAATAATAATAGTTGCAGTATTTTTACCCACTCAAAATAAATCACTTTTGTACTTCATTTTGCAATTTTTGTTTTCAAAAAGAGTTATACTGAATTTTATACACATCAAGTTCTTGGTCTGCGTTTGACTTCAAGGTTGGTATTACTCTCCATATTGTTTGTATAAATAACTTATATGTGTGGGGCCAGTCATAAAATACCATTTAGTATGCTCTTTCTGTTCTATTGTGCTTTCTTTTGTTCAGATCAAATCAATCATAAAGGAGAGAAAAAAAATCTGATGTCATGCAGAAGACCCTACCCATATATGGAAAGAACAGAACGTTCAGTTACATATTCATTCTACTGAGAAAAAAATTAAGATTATTTTGTTTAATGGACATAATACTGCATTGCTGATTCACGTTAATAGGCAAAATATTCTGTTATTGGTGTACATTCACTAAATTATCTGGTGTAAGAATCCCTCTGTATAATAATACAAATATTATTTTATGTGTGCCTTAGAGACCATACTTCACATGAAAAGTTCCAAGGATGTTTTTACAGCTTAAATTATAAACACTTATTTGAGATGTCATGCAATGTTTAATTATAATGTTTTTAAAATTTCAACTATAATGTATATTTATTTTCTAAATATGGAATGACTATGTGGTGTTTATTTAAACAACTTATCTCTGAATGATATTATGTTTATTGAGAAGTGTAAAACCATTCTCATCTGGATGGTCAAGAAAGAGAATCAAAAGCCTTTTCTGCAGTGTTGAATAATTTGGAACCTATTTAAGAAAGAGAATGACCAATCCAGGTAAACAAGACTTGAGTTTATTTATAGGATTCATATCTCCCTTCTGAAAAGGACATTTACAAACTTGATTTCAAAAATAAAAGAAATTATGAATGACAAATGTTCACGTTTTAATTTCAATAGTACAGGTAAGCTCTTCTGTGATAAATTAGCAGTTGAAAATGTTCCAGCGGAATCTGGTATCAATTAATTTAACACGTCATATAAGAAATAATAAAACATTTATTTTCAAGTCTTACATATATTACTTAAAATAGATACAAAGATCAATTTGTCATTTTTAAGTTTACTGCTATTTCAAGCTACCTGAAAGAAAATACCTTAGTGGAAAAAAATATTTCGATTGCCTTGAATACGTCTGACTTTTAAAACACGTACTGTTAGCAACAGTCCATCCATGTATTATTTAGCGATTAGGCAGGTCAAATGATCTATGAAATTATTTTGAAAGGAAAGAAATAATATTTGTTGGGCAAGTAAAATAATATTTGAGATTATTAGAGTATGCAACTTAGAATCAAGTTCAAGAAGTTGATTGATTAGAAAAATCTAACATTGCACAAATTCATAAATAATTGCTAGTTTCCATCTTTAATATTAACCTGCTTTCTTGAAGCACACTGAAACAATGAGATGAAATTGGTAGAAAAAATCGTACATGATTGTTTGCTGGATGGAAGCATTCATTTGTTAAAATAATTTCTCATACATATTTCCCTGTCCAAAAATATAAACTTGCTTCTTTTCCATATATACAGGTATCCTGTGAAATCCTGGATTCTGAGCAAAAGAAAGTTTGAGGTATGGCATTGAACAAAGCAACACAATGCTTGATGTTTGTGGCTGAAATTCAGCAAAATGACTGTCAGCAGAGAAGAGTTGACCGTAGTGTGCTTCCAAAAGTCTTCCAGGTTATTTTGCCCTCTGTTAAATTTGTTGGCGACATCAAATAATTGAACTCTTCAACATCAATATATACAAAGGCATTTTATTATTAACCAAAGAAAGGGAATTAGAGTCATCAGAAATTACAGCTTTATTTTTTCATAATACATATATTTATTGCCATCGTACTTCTGCAATTGTCATAAAATTAGAGTCGGATGAAATTTAGAGACACGTGCAAGTTTTGGAAATGGACACATAGAGAACAGTACAGAACTGTACATAAAATAATTACAATGTATCAAACACACGGTTTTAGCACATCCTTAATGGATGGGAATGAGCACCATATTTTGTACGAATATATATTTTTTTCTCTTTGTTTTCTACAGCACCAAAGAAATCCAAATAGGAAAAGGAGAGATGAGAATTGGGAATCAAGAAGCAACTCTGTTTCCATCTCAGCCACACTATCTTAGATTTTTATAATTTTCAAAGCTTTGTCCTGTGATTCTGTCCCGTAAGGACATCAGTACTTCCTAAATGGTACATGTATACCAGGCAAGTTGTTTTCTAGACCATCCGTATTCAAAACTTGCATGTGGCATAAAATGGGTTGGTGGCACCAAGGTATATTTTCTGTTGGTTTTTGTATGTTCTTTGTCCTAATCTTAGCCAAGGAAACAAGCAGGACCAACTTCAAATCCAAACTTCTGATTCTGATCACCAAAGTCATTGATCATGACATCAACTATAGGTACTTGATCAATTTTTGGTGTGTTGATTTCAATCACAGTTTTTTCATAGCCTTTTCTGGACTGTAAAATGAAATAGAAATAAAAAGTTACACCAATCACTTCACATTTTTAAATGTAAGTTTTTCTTAAGCTGCTGAGTGGAGGTGAGGAAGTGAAAGAGAAGAGAATAAGAAACCAGTTTGCCATCATCTAAGTAGTAACTCTCTTGTTATCATTTATATAACTTTAAATTTTGAATGTCAATCATTACATCTGACATTTAACAGTAATTACTCAACTACGATACTCTAGGATAATTCCCAGCCAGGAAAGAATCTTTTTGAATTGATAAGTACAATTTGATACGTAAATTGATGTTGGGATTGGATCTTCCTATATAAATACTACATCTTTGCCACCATAATTAGGAGATTATAGACTGTCAGAGTTATAATACAGAAAGTCAAAAATCAAAAGCTAAATATTAATTCTGTGAATTGTTAAATCACAATATGCTAGTATTGGAAAAGCTTTCTATGAGTCTTGTTCCATCAATCTGTTTTATATTTTTTCCTTTGTTCTTGCATCCTACTCATTTTGTTGAAAACATGAACCATGAACCTATTTATTTGTAATTGTGAGTTCTCTTCAGTTATCAATACTGAACTAAAGCAATGAGCTTTGGGGGGCATCCTAAGAAGCATTTTCATATATGGAATTCCCATCTATTTAAAAAAAATTAGTTCTAGAGGTTGAAATGTAACAAAAATACAGTAGACCCCCAGCTATTGTACTATAGTACCAGATAACAAGCTCTTTATAAACAAAAGACAGAGGTAGACGTTATCTAGGGTACAAATGGTATAATGGCGATTCCTTTATCTGTAATTTCAGAATCGCTAGCGAAGGAGGCAAATGAGAAAGATTTCTGGTTTTCTTTTTCATTTCAAGAATAACTAGCTGTGACACGAATCAGATGTCAGGAATGATAACATAGGACTGAAGATTACTTTTTCCTATGGATTTTAAAAATGTGTATGTATGTTTCAGAATGTGTGTGTGTGTGTGTGTGTGAACTTTAGCAGTTTCTAATACACCACAGTGTAACACGTCAGGATTAATATGAAATCTTTATAACAACTGACATCCATTTCACGAGAGAAATCTAGACTAGGACCAAACGAACATTGTCACAGGCGGCCTCTCATTTGGGAAGGTGCAGGGATTCTACTCACCGCACAGCCATCATATAGTGCTTTGATAAAAGGGTTATTGTCATGGGACATCTCCTCATCATTTGACCCCAAGAACCGAAGTGCTTTGTCGTAACTGCCTGATGATACGTCATACCAGGCTGCGGACTGATGACAGTTGTAGGTGAAATTCTGCCGAGCAGAGGCAGTTAGAAGTTTCAGGAACGTCATTTGCACCATATTAATGGAATTGCCTTCAACATCTAAATATGAAAGCTGGAAATAGAATAATTAAAAAGTACATAAAAATTCGTTTCTTCCTTTATTCTGTAAAGAATAAAATCACTGTCAACCTCAGCTGTGAACAGTAACGTCAGAAGCATGCAGATGAAGCAACAGATTATAACTTAATGAAGAAGGTGTGAATTGATGGTCCAGACACCCAGAGACAGAATTTTATGAAATCAGGAATATATCCTTAACTGCTTATCTCTGAAATAATCACTTTACCTCTATCCTCTCCTAAACAGTAAACATTGCCCCCCCCCAAATGCCTTCGTTTCCAAAAGTGGTTTCATTATATTTATGAATCTTTTGAAAAAGTAAGACGGCAAAGTAGCAAGACAATGAAACCTGAGGAATCTGGGACAGATGTAGAAGGTGAAATGGTTTTTGTGTAGCAGTTTGATTTTGCCTACTCCTTTCAAAAATTTCGTAATGTATCTACTTTGCCTAGATCTTTAAATATGTTCCAGCAGGTGCCTGTGGCTCAAAGGAATAGGGTGCCAGCCCTGGCCAAAAACTGGCAAAAAAAAAAAAGTGTATATATATATATATTCCTTCACTTTTGACTTTGGGGCTATCAACCTCTAAGGTATTCTGGTCTTCTAATTTTCAGTACAGTCGTGTCTGTCCATTATTAGAGAATATGTATATTCATAATTGTATTGTCAGCCCCAAGCATATTGCCCAAGATAATATAAGTAAATATTTGTTGAGTCAATATTTATTCTGTATATAAAGCAGGAAAACAGTCTTAGCTATAAATTATTAAAAATATCTCATAACACCTTCATAAATTATTTTATTTGATAGAATTGAAATATCTGGACTCAGCTGAAACACATAAACTTAAATTAAGAAACAAAGTTAAGAAATTCACCCAGATGATAGATTAAATCAATGTAAAGGCAATTAACTGTGACTTTCTTATAATTGATTTCATATAGTTATACTGAATAGCAGGTCAGATGATGAAGATTCTTGTGAGGTTAAAGAAAAAAAACTACTAGGAAAATTCAATCTAAGGAAAACAGAACAACAACACACACACACACACATTTTTAACTGTGTATGATTTTTTAAGTTCATATCCAACTAAAAATATATCATGAATATTTAACGTGTAACTCAAGGACTATACTAGTGCATACAAGTGGGAAACGTCACTGTAAGGCATTAATTATAATTATATATGTTTGCTTGTTACAAAAATAATAAGCATATAAACAGTCATCAATGTAACAGTTTTTTTAAAACATTACATAATTGAATAATTATCGAAATAAATGGGAAATACTCTAATGTGAATAAATCCTAATTAAAACATTTTACACACATGTACATTTTAAATAGTTTTTATACATTAGTTTATTATAGTTAGCATCTAATTTTAAAATATGTTTTGAAAACTATTAAAATGAATTGCTAAATATACGGAAACCTTTATGTAAGTTTGTGCCATTATACAAAAAGGATAAGTGCACTGTCTTTCCAAACATAACAATCAGAGGAAAATATTGTACTTCCCTAAAGTTCCTATTGAAATGGAAAACAAATAGCAAAATGGAGAACAAAACAGATAGAAAACAAAATAGTGGGAGCCAGAGATACCGACTGGATATCGTATTCTTTATCTCTTATATTATCGACATAATCTGTTCCTAGGATATTTATGTCAGGTACTTAATAAACCGTGTATGTTATTTGATCATATTTTTCTCAGTAAATTTAGTTTATTTATGTTTACTTTGAAACAGACATTTTAGACAGCTTTAAGATATCACAGTGGTCCAAAAGATGTTAGGGGCAGAAAATTAGACATCACATCAAATCCTACTCTGTATAATTTCGACTTTCACGGTCAGGGTGTAAAGATGCCTGATTTGAGCTTTACTTCGGAAGTTTGAGATAAATGGTTTCGTGTTGAGGTCAGGACATACCATTTTTCCTCTCTTAAATTCACTATACCAGCTTCCTGGTCTCTCCTTTGGCCATGATGAAATCCTTACCTGTTACAGAGGAACAGAAAATTAGAAAGGAGGTGATTACCATGAATGGTATGGTTTCTGCACATTATCAGTCATTTTCAGAGAGAGTAAAAGCTGAAAAGCTTTAAATTAATGTTAACCCTATAAAAAATGAGATTATCTAAAATGATTCCACAAACCTACACAAAAAGAGTTTTGTATAACCAAACGGTTATACAAAATGAGGTAAAGAGCAAAATCTGAGACAGCACCTACGAACTCCATGGAGGGAAGACTGAGTCATTTCCTCCCTGTTCTCCCTACTGTCTCAGAAAGAAAAGGGGAGGAAAGAACCTGGAAAAGGCCTGAGCTGGAGAGGCCCCTGCTGGTGGGGCGAGGGAGTGCAGGGAACTTCACTCCAAACACGGCTCCCTGACATTATGGGCATTTTGAATTGAGGGTCCTTAGAGATGAACATACACTGGAAGAGACTTCTCTCCTGTCTACTGAAGATCTGAGGGACCCCCAGGGGGAACAATTGTTGTTCCTCTTCTTCATCTTACTTCTGAATCATCAGTGTCTCCTAAAGCACAGGACTAAGATGGTCTCAGCAATTCCTTTACTTGCCTAAAGTTCAGATCCACCAAAGAAGAAAGCAATGGCCGCTGGTCACTTCCCTCAGCTTTCATTAACTGAATTCAGATTGCAGGAGGAAATACTGAAGTTTTTCAACACACAGGAAGAGATTTTTGTCACGAGCCATTGTTTACTATACAGGCTCCAACCGACGGGTTGGGCCGGTGTATATTCTTCAAACACATTGAATCCCCCCCCATCTGAAAATCATTTACCAACTCCTAAAATCAGTCACATTTCCCTATCTCCCTTTCCCTTAAGAAGTAAGGTATATAAGTTTCTATACTCTGTTGGGATATTTGGCAATCAGTTTGTGATTCCCCTCCATGGATGCTAATAAATTTCAGTGTCATTGCTTCTATTAATCTTTTGTCTGCTATTTTTTCCATGAACTTTCTTAGGGTAAAGCGCAAGGTTAGCAATCACCTAATCATCCCTTGCAAAGAAAATCCTCAAAATGCCAGTCAGCATTAGCCAGCGAGGCGGGAGGAGCCATCTCCATTTCCCAGCCAAAGGAGTTATTTGGAAATATTTAGCCAGTAACTAAGTGGGCAAGGATACTTTAGAAAGTCACTGGCAGGGAGCCAGCCTCATCATTCCCTGCTAGGAAGAATATTTAGAATCTTTTATAGACTTGCCTTTATTGTTTTGCTTTGTACAGATCTGCAAAATATAAAGGTACGTAAATCCTCACCGCAGGGAATTGGAGTCATCAGGGTAAGGGGAAGCATTTTCCATTTCCCACCTCTCTCTGGGGGCTAGAGGAGCTTTACTATGCTTTGCCCCAGGAGCCTGGAGAATGGAAGGTGTTTCCCCTCCCCCAATATCACTCCTTACTCACAAACGTAACTTTTCTCCTAAAAACATTAGCCACACATAAAGCTACTGCTTTGCCTTAAGGAGCTTCTGTGCCTCTCATGCCCATTCCACTTCATAAAAAGAATGGAATTTATTACACAAGTACGGATAAAAGCAAAATACTTCACATAAATCTTTGAATAATAATATTATACTAGTGAAAAACCTTTCCTATATTTAGCTTACAAGATTCAAGTATATTGACAGTATTAGGCAAAAATCAAGGAATCTGTTTAAAGGGACTAAATACTCAAAAAAAAATGTAAGTACAGGAAATACCCTTATTTTAAAAGATCAGTTCCTTATAAAATTAGATATTTTGGGCACAGTATGCAGTTGTGAGTTCTACCACGTGACGATTGGGCAGAGAATACTAAATACGTTGCACTGAAATTTGAGCTTCAGCTGTGCTGTATTATGGACAGCCATGGAATTTTAGAGAGAAAGCAGGTGCATGAAGAATACATCTGGGTACGAAATAAAGGAGAGAAGGATTTGTTAACTCTGCACATCACTGTGGTGCTTTATTCATGTTTATGCAAATGAAAAGCTCTAATTACCCCATAAGAAAAGCAGATAAATGAAAATATGACAGTGTAATTTTCCTGTTTAGTTCAATATTGCAAAAACATGGCAGGAACTGTCAACATTCACCACCAAAACAGATTGGTACTTACTCCCTCAGATTTCTTCTCTGGATAAATACAAGTCTCACCACCAGATGTGAAATTACAGTAAACTTTGAAGGAATCTCCTGTACAACCCTGGTTAGGATCAATCCAATATTCACCTGAAAGGCAGCAGAAAACAGATACGAATTCATTGATATCCAAATCAAATGCATTAGATATTAAATTGTGTAAGAAACCAGGGATCATTTCCTTTTTATGTTTCTGGTCGTATCAGGGCCTTGCCTGCCTCAACGTTTTGCAAATGCCACAGAGATTCTACTTGGAACACTTTTCATTTGTGCTCACCTGGCCCACGATTTTTAGATTTCGGCCTAAATGTCATCTCTTAAGATATTACCATTCTGTTTATCCATGTGGAATAAACTCCGTGCATAATGGAATCAAATACAGTTGGCCCCAAATCTCTTAAGTATTATTTACTACTTAAGTTAATTTGATGGTAATAATCAATATATTTTCTTCTGGTTTGTGCAGGTGCAACAATGGATATGATAGTATCTGCTAAGCCTCAGGGATCATACCCTGCCTTACTTTATAGCAAAAGCTTCTTCTTGTAAATGTATTTTCTCTTTGGATGAGGTCCTAAGAAAAAAGCATACTTTATACAATTAAAAGCAGTCTGCTACTGCTACCATTATTGAGTGTTGCAGAGCACATTTTATGTGGATAACCGTAACTCTTGATGTGAGTCAAGATGGCAGACAGTGGGAATAACATTAAACAAAGTTCTTCTCTATATAAGTGACAATAAGGTTTGTGTTAACAAAAGTTACTGCGAGGCAAAATTGATCTACATGTAACCATTACTTTGCTTCATTCTGTTGGAACTCATAAAAAGACCCCCACAAAATGGAAGGCCTCAGAAGCAGAGTTTCTCTCTCACCTTCTTCTACCCTCCTAGTTCTCATCCCTCATCCTCTTTTGAGACAAGTCAGAGAAACTAGAATCCTATTTCCTAAGGTGGGTCATAGATACAAGACCCTTTTTCCCACAAAGACAGCCATAAAACCTACAACTATCACTCTAACCTTCCCCCACCTTTCTACGTGTTAACTGCCAGCCATAAAGACATGAAGATTTCATTGCAGAGTGGTCCTGCCCCATACCTGTGACAACATGCATGTTACATCAGAAAGGCCAAGAAGAATCTGAACAGACCTGCCGTTCAAACTGTTAACCATTAGCTCATACTCTTTTTATGCCCAATGACACTTCTACACAGCTGTCCCTGCTTCATTGAACCTAAGCGTTTAATTAGATGGCATCACCCGGATCTTTGGGAACTCCTTCTGAGGGTGCCTGTGCCGTGTAAAGCTATGATCAAATACAAGTGTTAGGCTTTTCTCTTATTAGCCTGCTGTTTGTTAGACGGTGTCAGCTGTGACCTTTATGACGGGGAAGAAAGGGATCAACATCCTCTCCCCCCCTATACTTCCTACTATTGTTCTTGTTGACACTTCATTTCAAATATTAATTTGAATTATACTAGCCTTTCTAGTTGCGAAATTTAACATTTACAAAGCTCAAATTGCTTAGCTTAGTACTAGAAATCTGAAAATCCAAGTTCGGCTTGTTTTATCTTCTACGACCACCTGTATATAAACAACCTCTGTTTGTCAGATAACTTGAATATCATATTTTAAAAAAACATTTATACTTGTTCTGATTATACCCACAGATATTCATGTGTGAAACAAGGTAGAATTCCCAGAAAATAAAAATCATCCAAGATTTTACTAACCAGAAATAACCAATATCTCTGATATTTCTTACATGGTTCTAATGAGTATATAATTTTGTATGATATAGAAATGAGAATCATCATTTCATCTTGTTTTATTCATTAACATTATCATTAAATGTTCTTTCACATCAGATTAATTAGTGAATTACTGATACTTTCATTCAATAAAATGGTTCAGTATCCCATGGATACTATGTTCAATTTATCTCACATTTATTCCTTTCCCGTTTCTCCTGCCATATTCTTAGATCAGGGCACCATCATCTCCTGACTAAATTAGTCAGAAAGCTTCTTAGCCATCTCCCTTTTATTCCATTTTGCTTCCTTCTAAATTTTTTCAGGTAATTTCCCGGAGTGCTCTCTATTGTTTAGCCACAGTAAGCTTTTTTGAGTTCTTTGAAAACACTAAGACCCTACCTTCTTCAAAGCTTTACAAATGTCATACCCTCTGCTTGGAATACCCCTTGGATTCTGAGTACGGCTATCTCTTTAAGGTTTCAATTTAAAGAAACTCCTCACATATTAATATCCTATCTGCTAGGAGAATGGGGACTGGAGATCCCATTCTTGGCAAGGGAAAGCACCCCCAGAAAAAGAGGAAAATTAAAACGTAAGCTGAGTGAGTTGGAACAAAGAAAAATCAGCTAGTTAACATTTAAGCTAGCCATTGCTAGCAAGCTCCCTGCCTTTTCTGAAATTCTAGCCTGTTGGGGATCTAGCTTACAGCCACTCCTGCTGTGTCTATGAGCACTCTGAGGACAAACGTCATAGAAGAGGGTGCGGCAAAGACCTAGAAAGATACATTAACTGGGTCATTTCCTGCCTAGTAAACAGGCAAAGCAGATACCCACTGTGGAGATCTGCATTTGCCTGGGGCAGAGACCAAGCAGGCTGGAGTCCTGAGATATGGGCAGAAGAGCTTATATCTCTGATGGCAGAGGAAGATCCTCTGTGGTGGGGATGGGAGGAAAATTCCTCCCTCCCACCAATTCCTCAGAGGAGACTAACAACAGTGGCTGGCATTTTACTCCACAGGGAACTAGCAGATTTTAACACCTCCCTAGAAATCTGTGTGTGTTCCTAAGAGGGAGGCTCTCCCAATACAAGGCCCAGATTTCAGATTTCTCAAGGCCACCCTTAAGGTTAATAGAACAGTAGGAGCTGATATGCTCAGAGAAACTACTGATGTTTTGTTCCCTCTCTCGTCCCTCTGGGTAAATAGACCTCAATAAAAGCAGAGCGGAGCAAACTTTTGGTGCCATTGCCGGAATCCCATAAACGGGCAAGGGACTCCTGAGCTCCCATTTTTAAATCTACTCTATGTCTCATGTCTCTTTCTTTACCATTTTTTTTAACTCTATATTTCTTCAGCTGGTCGCTGCCAGTTTCCACAGGTCTTAGTGGACTGTGCTTCTGGGGTGGGACCCCAACACTATCTAACCAGACTGGAATCACCCCTTAATTATCTAAATACATACTTCTTTTTCATACTACCTGTCATGATATGCTATAATTAATTTTTTTGAGGGGTGTGCTCCATTTTTAGATAATAAGAAGCTTGAGGGCAAAAACAATAAAAAAAATTTTAAAAAAAGAAGCTTGAGGGCATTATACTTTTTGTTAATCTATGAATTTCTGATGAATGTCTGTCTTTGCTCAATCAGTCAATAAATATATCAATTAATTAATTAGTACATTCAAGAATTAATAAGCCAATTGTGTAGAAGAAACTGGGAACAATAATCAACAATAAACTTATCCCCAAATTTACAACACTTTTCCTTTACTGCTCAGTGCTAATTAATGACATTTTGCTTTATAACTCAATATAAGCTGACATCTCATACACTTGATTTTCAATTATGCATGATTGAATACCTTTTTGATTTGAATGAGAAGTGTAAGAATCATATCATATTGTCATATCGTATTCCCTGTATTCTTGTTTAAATGACATATCAACTCAATAGAAATTTTCTAATAGGTCAAGTACGTGTAGTTTCAGGAGAAGAAGAGAAAATTTTCTGAATACACTCAAACTAATTCATCTCAGTCTTTTGCTTAAATAATGCCATTTAAAAGTAAGTCTTCTTATAAATTGCTGAACTAAACATATCTTTTCAAATAAATACGTTATAAATTTGAAGATCTTGGTTACCAGTTTGTGTAGGAACTGTAGTAACCACCCATGTTTTAGTTTAAACAGGCTGTGCTTGATTAATACAAGATTTTATGACATCTTTCTTTATGGTGGCTGTTTCTGAATTACATAAAATTTTTCTATGCACTGAGTTATTTAGATCACAGTTGTAACATTCATGACGTGAATGATAGTGCCCAACAATATTTTCTTGGGAGTAAAAGAGGAGGCAAAGTACTTCCAGATAAAATGGGAGATGTAAAATCAGATAAAGATTTGACCTTTGCTAGTTTAGTAATTCTACAAATTTGGTCAACTAAGACTTAAAATGCTTCCCTTCTCAGGTCAGTATTTATGTTAAAGGTTTTGTCAAAGAGTATGTATAATAAATTATCCCGATTTTTACTGATAAGTAAACAATTCATAGTTTTCTGTTTATTTGTGGATCAAGAAAAGATATTTCTTTGCCCCAAGCTATCCCTATTCTTATTCTTTTACTAAAGCATTGATAAACTGAAAGGCTAAATATTCTTCAGTTATGCAACTTAGTCATAACCATATTATTCATATTAATGTAAATCACTATTTTAATGTGTTAATATGGATTAATTACATTAGTGCAGTCATCCTAATAATATAATTTAAGGTAATAAAAATATATAGCAATAGGCTCATATTTGTTAACACAGAAGATCCATTCTGTGATAGTTACTATGAAGCAAAATATATTTGTATCAGCTATGATCATCCAAACATGATTTGGTCATAATTTAATGAAACCTTAGTTAACAGACAAGGGATTTTTTCAAAGCAAATATTGAATTACACTGTGTAAATGACTTTTTCCATCTATAAGACTAAAATGAACAATTGTTTGGTTTTATTTAGAGAATGTATTAAACTTTTAACTGAATTAAGAGCTGACAATGACCCTCCATAACTCAGAGGCTTGGCACATTTGCCTTGACATGTATTATCAACCTACCATCTGGGAAGTCTGGATGGCTGAGTTGCAAGTCTTTGCAAGTTCGGGCTGGATTGGTTTGGGTACCCATTGGAAACTTCATATGCTCAATGTCTTGTTTCAGTGAGTTGAGAGAACCAAATATTTCCTCCATTCCATCCCAGTAATCAACAATATTATCTTCTGCATCAGCTTGCATGCTTTCAGTATGCCTTCTGGTTTTTTTGGGTGACAAGATTGGTAAAGGCTGAATGACTTCACCCGGAGGACCCTGCAAAGGAGATTGTGCATGTGATTGTTCCATAAAGTAAAATATTATGCAGACATTGGTTACTATAGGTTATGTTTCGTTCTAAGAAACAACAGTTAGTTTAGTTGTTCCATAGCTACAAAGTGATATATAATGTTTATATAAATATTTATATATGCATGTAAATTTTGTAAGTTATTTTTCAAACTAACCTTGCAGAGATACTGCAGTAGTTATACAAATCAGATGTTTCTGGCCATATGTATATCTTAATGTAGCAAAGATCTGTATAGATCTATGTTATATATTATTTTCTCATTTCTTAATTTTTCCTCATTTATATGCCCCATCTCCACCCTCAGATTCTAAAGACTCCAAGTTTTAGAACTTTAGAACTTTAGCATTGAAATCTGAATTTCAATGCTCCTATACTATCTAATGAACTGTCTGTTATGCTTGATAATAATTTGTATTATGAAACATCAAACTTTTAAAATATGCACAAATATGCATACCTTGACTCTTTATGAATTAGAAAACTTAAAACAAATGCAACCAGATTTGAATTTACATTAATAGCAAGCTACCCCAGATAGTTAATCCACATCATTCGGGGTTGAATCGCATCTCACAAAAACTGATACGCAAAAGTCCTAACTCCCAATAGCTCAGAACGTGATCTTATTTGGAAATAGGGTGCCTGAAGATAAAATTGGTTATGATAAGGTCATTAGAGTGGGCCTTAATCCAGTGTGACTAATAGTCTTAAACAAAGGGTAAGTTTGAACACAGAGACACACATAGAGGGAAGATGATGTGAGGAGACACAGGGAGATGGCAGCCTTCTACAAGCCAAGGAGAGAGGCAAGGACAAGCTCCTTTCCCCACAGACCTCAGAAGAAGCCAGCCCTGCTGACACTTTGAACTAGGACTTCCAACCTACAGAATTGTGAGAAGATACATTCCTTTTGTTTAAGCCACAAGTTCTATTCTCTGCTACTTTATTACTGTAGCTCTAGCAAACTAATAGACATATTGTTGGAGACATTTTAGTTCAAGAAAGAAGACTAAACAGTTTTTTGCATGGATTTATATTTTAATTCTACTCCTTAAGAACTGTGTGAAGCCTGGAAAATGTCAGTACTAATAAATGTTAGCTTTTATTATTGTGTTTTTGTTATTACTATGACATATGCACTAGGAAAAGAAAATGCCAAACAAGTGAACTTCTATCTTTATTCCCAGAGTCACGTATAAATATATCCATGTGGCATCAGTTGGTTTCATTAAATTGTAGCATAAAAAAACATGTGGTTGTTTTGAAAACTAATAAAAACAAGGTTGTTATAACACATCATTAAGGTATCTCTCTATTTAAAGAGTGAAATCAATGAAAAGGCTGGACAGGCAGATAGGATTCCTTAACTGATGTAGTCACCATTTCCTATAAATCAGCACTTTGGACAGAATGTACTTTTTTTGTCCATCTTATTAATTCAGAGGAATCATTGGCAGTCTCCACATGCAAATTACCAGAACATGTTTTTGTTAACGTGCACTTACTGGAGGCCCAGGGGGCCCGGGAAGACCACTGTCACCTTTCTGTCCAGCAGGTCCCTGTTAGAAAGAGAAAGGGAGAGGAAATAAATGGGGAACAGGGAATTAACCAGGATCACTGAAAAATAAAAATGCCGAAGAAAAAAGTACTTACAGAAGAGCCTTTGTTACCCTTTGGGCCTTGAGGACCCTACAAAATGCAAAGGAAAAAGCACAGATAAAAATCTGAAGCATTTGTTTATGTTTGGCATATTTGTAACTTTACTCTACCTTCCACGACTCTGCTGTTTCGTACTTACTGGTAAGCCTGGAGGACCAGGTGGACCTATGGGACCGGCAGGACCGGGAATTCCCTAGAGAGAGAATCATCCAATTTAAAAAGCTTCCTCAGTATTCCATTGTCATGATTCGCATAACTGCACACCTTCAAAAATGTAAAGGACTAAAAAGTAAAATAACTTATCATTTTTTCACTGTAAATCTAGGAAATAACTTGCAAAATCATGCGAATTTTTTTCCTATTTTAATGTAATGTCTGTAGTTTTTTTGTTTTAAATACACACATGTGGGGGGCATGTGTGTGTGTGTGTGTGTGTGTGTGTGTGTGTAGGCCTATAAAGGGTCACACGCCAGTAGGCCTAGCACTCTGAGAAGCTGAGGTAGGTGGATTGCTTGAGCTCAGGAGTATCACACCAGGCCCAGCAAGAACAAGACCTCATCGCTACTAAAAATAGAAAACTAGCTGGGCATTGTGGAGGAAGGGGGGGCGCCTGTTATTCCAACTACTCTGGAGCAGGAGGCAACAGGATCTCTTGAACACAAGAGTTTGAGGTTGCTGTGAGCTATAATGACATCACAGCCCTCTCTCCAGGGCAAAAAAATGGAGTGAAACTGTGTCTAATAAATAAATAAATAAATAAATATTTACATGTAATGAGATTTAATCCATGCATTTTTAGTTACTACTAAACTATACATTTTTATGATTTCTTAAATCATACTTTTAATTTATTTGTCCTAAGGTTTTAGAAAGTAGTACAGACTTAAGGAGAGATACTTTAAATTCCTTGTTTGATCATATTTAAAGGAAAGCGCATGTGAGTGTATTATTCAAAAGGAACGGGAAGAAATTGTCCATAATTTTACTTACCCCATCTCCCTTTGCTCCTGGAGACCCTTGAGTTCCAGGGAGTCCTCTGTCCCCCTTTTCCCCTTGTTCTCCTGGAGGACCAATCAGGCCAATTAAGCCAGGATGTCCCTTTGGAAGGCAGAGAAAAGAAATTTTAATAATAATTAAGTTACAACCATTATTAAATTCTAGTCATAAAAATTTGGATATTAGATTCATGGAACATGAAAATAAAAATTTAAAATGCACATAAAACACAGAGAATCACCCTTCTGTGTAGAAGACAAGGAAGGATCTCCCTTCTGTCACCTAACTGGATCACTTACTGCTTACAGGAAGTGGGGATTTAGTAAAGGTTGAAAGTATTACGGAACAAATGTTTTCTAAAAATATCATCTTCACCGCAGTTGAGGAATTCCCTCAGTTAAAAGACCAATAATGGGGTGGCGCCTGTGGCTCAGTGAGTAGAGTGCCAGCCCCATATCCCAAGGGTGGGGGTTCAAATCCGGCCCCTGCCAAACTGCAACAAAAAATAGCTGGGCATTGTGGTGGATGCCTGTAGTCCCAGCTGTTAGAGAGGCTGAGGCAAGAGAATTGCCTAAGCCCAAGAGCTAGTGGTTGCTGTGGTCTATGAAACTATGGCACTCTACTGAGGGTGACAAAGTGAGACTTTGTCTCTTAAAAAAAAAAAAAAGACCAATAATGGGCTCAGTGCCTGTAGCTGAGTGGCTAGGGCACCAGCCACATACTCTGGAGATGGTGGATTCCAATCCAACCCTGACCTGCCAAACAACAATGACAACTACAACCAAAAATAGCCGGGTGTTGTGGCAGGCACCTGTAATTCCAGCTCCTTAGAAGGCTGAGGCAAGTGAATCACTTAAGCCCAAGACTTTGAGGTTGCTGTGAGCAGTAATGCCACAGCACTCTTCCCAGGGCAATAAAGTGAGACTCTGTCTCAAAATAAATAAATAAATAAATAAGTTTAAAAAAAAAAGACCAATAATGACTATATATAATATTGGGGAAATAAACAACCCCAAACTCCTAATTCTAATTTGAATTGAATAGGAGTGATCTATTCTTCAGAAATTCTGTGTGTCTTTTAAATGTAATCAGAAATTTTAAATACAAACAATATTAATGTCATTATTTAAAAGGCTTATTTTTTTTTCTAACTGGTGCAACTCAGCATAAATTCTCAAGGATCATATTACTTTTTAAAAGATACGTTTAGTTTTATTTTCATGGTTAAAAACATAAGAATGGGTATTTTGTTATTTCATTTGTTTATTTTCTGAATAGTTATTTTAGTATAACCATATGCTTTCTCCATATGGTTCCTGAAAAGAAACACTGAGAAGATATAACACTGAATTCTGGTACTTTTTTTTTTACTATTTGGATATTTTCTCTTCTCTAAATATTTCTGAGATGCCAAGGATTCAAAGCTTTTTCCATGGTTAAAATGGTAATGATATTGTTTTTAATTTCCTTTTCAATGGTTTTAGCCTGCAAAGTTAATTGCTTCTACTGTAAATACAACAATTTTGAAATATACTCTTTTATTCTTACCTTTTCACCCTTGGAGCCAGGGTCACCTTTAAGACCTGGTAAACCAGGAGGTCCCTAAATAATAATTTAAAAAAAAAGACAAACAAAAATAGCATAAATAGGAATAAGAGAATCACATTACTCATCACAGAGCTACTTTGGTTTGGGTAACATGAAGTTCAAAAATAATGATGAGTGTTAATTTATTTTACAAGAATCTAAGTAAATGTAATTAAAATATTACAGTTTAATTTGTAAATGTCACATTAACCCATAATATTTGTAATTTTGATCAAATAAACTGAAGCTAAAAATAAGACACAGTTTACATAGCTTTTCAGTTGAGGGCAAATGTACACTTTAAATGCACTTATTTGAGAAGGGAGTTCCAAATTATCTATCTAATCAATCAAATATTTCTATACCAAACAAATGTTAAGGGTTAACACAATTTAGTAAATTTTTTTTAAAAATCCAATAAGCTTTCGACAGTCAGTTGATATTTGATAACCACAGAAAAGTTTTTGACAAATGTTTCAACACACTGTTCTGTGTTTATTTCAGTAAGAACTATATTTGCAATTCTCAAAACAATTCCCTGATATTGTACAGAATAAGAAGATAATATCTATATATAGTGCCTTAAAAATGGAGTTCTATACTTCTGCTGAGCAACAGTCAATTTTCTGAATTCTGATTTTGATTCTTATTCCTTATTATCTTATAAATAGACATCTTTTACTATGAGTAGTAGATAGAGAGATATATACTAAGACTATCTAATAATCACAGTCACCTCATGCATCTATAAGGTACCACACAGTGTACAAAACTCCCTTAATAAATACATCTTCAGTGTTTACAACAATCCTGATGAAGTAGCTCTTTGTGTTTTTTTTACTTCCAAGAAACTGGTCATTTAACTTCCTTTTATCAAGACTAGAGTTCAAATTTAGTAATCTGGTTCCAAGTCCAAAATTCTTTAGGCAAATGATATTGGACTATTCTTAAAAGCGATAGTCATAGGCAAGGAGAAGATGCTAGTCGGTAAGACAAAGGATATTCCAAGAGAGTAGTAAAGCAATGTAGCAAACTACCAAAAATGATATGTCTCTCAGAAAGTAGACTGATTTAGACTCCAAAGTTTTTAGAGGGAAGGGCTTCTAGTGGAAGATAGGAGATTGAGAGATGACGTTTATTGAACGACTTGGCTGAGAGAGATTTGGGAAGAAAAAGAAATGTCATAATTTCTTGAATCCTGAACTGAAAATCCCAACTATTGAGCCAGAAATGCATTAGCAAATTATAATATGAGTGGAATTGAATTGTCATTATATAACTATTTCAGATCATACGGTATTTGACCATTTTCTTTCTTAATACTTTGCCGCCGTCAGAACACTTGAAAATCAAGAACACCCAAAGATCACAGGACTACCCTGCAGATTAGGTTTCTGGGTTGAAGATACTGGAGAATGGGTGTAAGGCATCCCCACTCTTCATTCTCATGGGATTTTAGGAATTGACAAGTGACACTATTCCTTTTATTTCACAAAGAAACAGACAAACAGAAACTTATTAATTTTGTGAATCACAAAGTTTGCCAATGGAAGAAACAAAGACCTGACCCCAAGCCTCATGACCGGACCCAATGTTCTTTCCATGAAAAGCATTATTTTCTTCTGTCATCACATTACAAATAGACACATCAAAAGGCCAGGGCTTCTTTTTTTTCTGATCAGTTCATTAGAGTTCACTCCAGGCTACTCAATGGGGTTTTACACAAAATGTTTTCAGTTTTTAAAATTCTTGTTGGGAGAACTAGCCTTTTCCAAATTACACTCCCCAGATGGTACTTTTAGCGGTATATTCTAAATTGAATCTCCCATTTAAATGATTTATAAAATTAATAATAAAGAGATTTACTTGTCATACTAATATGCCATTATTTCATTAAATTAGCTTTTTTATAGTCTCAGGTTATGACCCTTATCCTTTGTTAACTTATATTTGCATGAAAAGTATGGCATGAGTTTAGCATCTAACTCTTACTTCTGCCTCGCTATCCAAGAAAATTTTCATATGGGTGACTTTTGAACAACTTTTTTTTCTTTTGAGACAGAGTCCCACTTTGTCACCCTCGGTAGAGTACCGTAGTGTCACAGCTCACAGCAACCTCAAACTCTTGGGTTTAAGTGATTCCCTTGCCTCAGCCTCCCAAGTAGCTGGGACTACAGGTGCCTACCACAATGCCCCACTATTTTTCTGTTGCAGTTGTCATTATTGCTTAGCTGGCCCAGGCTGGGTTTGAACATGCCAGCCTCGGTGTACGTGGCTGGCACAGTAACCACTGTGCTATGAGCACCAAGCCTGAACAAACTTTCTAACCTACAAATTGGTGTACTCCAACTTTGATGGAAACTGAAAATAAATTTTGTTCTGAAGCTACACATTGAACAATGTAGGCAACAGACGCGGGCAGAAGTATTAACTGTTGATTTGTACTTAGGTGACTCCTGAAATTAGGGCCAAGATAATTTAAATAGGTCACTCTACCTCCTACAGCTAATGCACCAAGCAGCAAAGGCAAACTGTTCATATGATTTCTCTGCGAGTCTGAATTATTTCGATTGAACTGAGTTATCTGGATTATTAACCCAAGCAAATTGTTTTAATTTTTACCCAGCTACATCCTGAGTCATTACTATTGTATCTTCTACCAGGCTACCGTGAATAATTTTCCCCCATCTCTAGAGATATTTCAATTTGTCAGTGTGAAAGAGCACACTCTATCCCAGTCCATATTTTTTGTGAATTTAAAGTATTAAGAGCTATAGATGTGGTCCAAGCAGTGAGATACACTCTGTATGGGTCCAGAGTAGAAAAGGCCTGGCCTAGAAGTCAGATTCTTAGCAATTTAAATTAGCTAAACACAGAGAGTGTAGGTTTTCTCATCTGCAAAGTGGGGATTATAATTTCTATCTCATCAGGCTGCTGTTAGAAGGAGCAGCTAGGCCCTTTCCTTTTCATAGTTTCTGAAGCCTAGTCCTCTAACTGGAATTCTGAATATCAGGAGAGAGTAAGAATAGTGTTAACGCAAGTAAGTCTTTGTGCAAAAATGGTATTTGGGGCCATGATTTGATACATTTCTCTTTGTTTTAATTCATGAATGAATTTGAAATTCCCTATGTATTCACCTCAAAGTGGACAACATTCTTACATTGTTGCACTTACAATAGACTAAAACTATTTTCATGGGACGTATGTGCAGTTTTAGGTGTAGCTATACCTCACACCAAAAGACGATAATTAAGGCAATTATCAAATTCACTTCCAAATAGACAGTCGTCTTTCCTTCTCTGCAGTTTCACTCTCTACAGTATGGAGTGTCTAAAAAGTGAAACATGTTACGAATGTTAATTATCCTTTAGTTTATTAGTTTTAAATATACTACAGATGAATAGCTACCAACTTTCTCATCCCATGCTAATACTACAAACTAAAAGGCAAACAAGAAGAACTGCCACTAATTCTAATCGTTTATGCTTAGTGAGAAACATCCTAGGGATTACTGTGTTTTTAATGCACTTTAAATATTTTCTATAAATATTATTTATGAAGGAATTTGAGGTAATGAGTATGAATTCATCTCAGCTAACAATCTGTCGTGAAATTACTCCACCTAACTGTGAATTTGTCAAACAAAGTCAGCTTTTTATTTTTCACCAGCTAGAAAATTAAGATTGGTAACCTTATGATGTTGAGAGCAGTTATAAATACCCTTTGATCTTAAAGCAGAAAAGAAACATGGATGCTGCATATAAAAATGTCATCCCAAGTACACTTATTTTCTGCTTTCTCTTTAGGATATTGTAAATTGAAAACCCCTAGGGAAATACATAATTCATAAGTTGTGAGGTGAAAAGGAAAACAGAGACAAGAGATTCTTAAATGTTTGGAATACACAGCCAACATTTTCTCAGCCGTATTATTATGCTCTGTGGAATATTTACTTTGATCTATATCTCAAAACTCTAGGGCATTCAACTTTAAAGAAACTGCAGACCCTACACTTTATTTAGAAGATAAAAATTGCAAACAGTGTTTAATTAGGTAAAAGGCAAATGCTTTGTTATTTTAATCATGGTAGAAGGCTACCATCTCAAATCTGTTTACAGATAGCTTAAATGTAGCATTAAGAAAAAAATCAAACTGTAACTCAGTATCTTAGCCTACCTTTCATTCAGGTTTTTATAGTTTGAGAATAATGCTATCAGATATTTTATTCATCATTTGTGAAAGAAAGGAACAGGTGGTAATACTAAAGCAAATTTATCCAAAGATAAACATGAAATAATTTTTCAAGTGCATTAGAACAAATAGGATTTTAAAAGAATATGAAGCAAAACAAAATAAAAACTTAAAATTAAAATGAATGTTAATTCTGCCTCCAAAAGCCATTATTAGGTTATTCAATTACTAAATCATGTTAATTTTGACTTTGTAGCAAAGGACAGAATTATGCACCATCAGCCTTTAAAAAGCTCAATCTTATTCTCATTTAGTGTTTGTTGAACATTCAAAGAAAATGCTAATTAAAATGTTTAAAAAGCTTCAGAAAACTATAACAACTCTTACAGGGATTCAATTAAAAGAATGCTAATAGAATTCTCCACGCAGGCTTATCATTCTCTACCACGTGGTGGAGCTCAGGGAAAGCCCCTCTGTTCCACATGGATATTTAAGCATTTGTGCATGAGTACTATATGTTGAATTCATACATGTAAATGAAGTTTTACCATGTGAAATATTTAGCATTTAAAATAAAAAATAAGTACTGTTTCCTATCTCAGCTTTAGTAGAGCTAATAACGTACAGGAGGCAGATATTCTGCAGAAATCATTCTGAGAGTTTTAAAATCTTTGTTTTACTCTACTGTAAAGAATTTCTCCTATAGAATTTTTCCTTTGTTATCTCTCTGTGTAATGGGTGCTCACTCAGACAGGGTTCAATTGTCTAATTAGGTAGCTGCCAATCTGGAAAGATGTGAGTAGATAAGTTGTATTTACTGAATAGCTAAGTAGTATTTAAAAGGTGGGGAAAAGGGGAATGTCTTGGTAGCTTTGACCAGTGGAGCAATACAGTGGGAAGTTACAGGCATCTTCTAGAAGGGAAAAGAGACCCAGTAGGTACTTGGGGAAGTCCAGTGATGGGCAAGAGGAAGCCTGCATGTGTGGACTTGGGCGTGGGCGTGAATATATTTGTAATTATAATGAGTAAAAATACATCATGCTAACGTGTTTTTTTATAGTTTTCACATGGATTAATTTGGGAGAGTAAGGCAAGCATTTATGTTTTCCAATCTCTGTTAGTCTCACCACTTACATCTTATCCACAATTAACTCTGTCTTTTCCTTCTTTAATAATCTTATATTTCTAAGCAGTGAATGAGTCTTAAAGAAAATGGCATTTCAATGCTCCTACTTCCCTGGCATTATCTATGTAATTCTATAACAGGACTCACTACATTATGTTCTAACTGCTGTGTTAATTGTACTTGTTGATCTCCTCCACTGGATTTAATAGCCAACAACTTGCAAACAGGTTTGCTGATGATACAGATGCTCAAATTTGGAGAAATTTAGTCACTTTTCATTAAGAATATCAAATTTATTATTTCCAAAATATTTACCATCATTATATTTATTTAATAGTTATTCATTTTATGCTACCAATACCAATCACTGGTTTAAAAAATTAGTAACTTCCCAAAAGTCATGCAGCAGATAAATGATAGGACATGTTTTGAACCAGGGAGTATGGCTCGAGAGTCTGTGACCTGAACCAGTAACATAATAAGCTATTTCTCCTTCTGATTAAAAATCTACCTGCCAAAATAAATCGCTCTTAGTTGAGTCAAAAAGCTCATCAAATTGCCAAAAATGGCGTTCTAAAGATGATTCGTCTGTCCAGCCTCACCTTGTGAAGACTGAGTAGCATTTTCATTGAGATTAGATATTGCCATTAAGACTAACTGAAGTTAGAGTGGCACCTGTGGCTCAGAGGAGTTGGGCGCTGGCCCCATAAGTGAGAGGTGGAGGGTTCAAACCCAGCCCTGGCCAAAAACTGCAAAAAAATAAAAAAAGAGTAACTGAAGCTAAGAAGAAGCTAAATACGTTGTAAGTACTTTTCAATAAAACAAGCAGTTATAAAATGGAACGCAGCCAGGCCGCCACTGCTGATGCTCAAAACTTCACTCTGCCAAAAAGGTTTGAGTTACTCTGCCCTCCTGCACCGAAAACTCCTGTTTACTCAAGAGTCAGAAATACAAACTTCTGCACGCTGGAATCAGCTGGTATGTCTGATCGTTTTATTTTCAATATCGGCTGAAGGAAACCTTCGGCCCGATGCTTTTGATTTCATCTGCAGAAAGGTCAGAATAGTTATTGGAAAATCTGAAATAACAAGGAACAAAAAAAAAAAAAAAACCCTTTGGAAAATTTTAGGGTGACATTAAGGCAAAGTAATTTATCTTCCAGCCTGCGCCTCTGTGCAGTTTGCAGTTTAGCAAAGCCGAGGAGACTGTTTCTAAGTTGCTGCACAGATGTGGGGCCCATCCTGCTTCCACCCGAGCCCTGCTCTGGTGCTGATGAGACGGTGCACGGAGCTGCCGACCTCCAGCTTGATGGCAGCCAGCATCTGACAACTGTATCTGGTTACCAAACAGGTTTTCTTTAACTTGGTCAGTGAAAGTTAAAAAAAAAAATCTCCTTCACACTTTTGAGATATTCAACAGGAAATTGTCATGCATCTTTCATGAAAGAAATGGCCATAATTCTTCCTGAATAATTAAGACTGAATTCAGATTCGATGGCTTCCTGAGTACATCCATACACGCGTCTCTGAGATAATCCGGGAAGGTTCACAGAGTTCCAGTTACTCTGCGGAGGGATTGGACCATTTAAACTAACACGCATTCCCCAGCACCGTGAGCTAAGTGCACTGTTTGCTATTTTGATGAATCACTTACACACATACCTACTTCTGATAATGAAGGTCAATTTTCTCTACCATGAAATAGAATCTGTTTATAAAGCAAACAAGTCACCGAGTTGGCAATGATTTTAAAGAACCCGTCTTTCGTTTCCACTTTCTGCTCAAATTTTAGAGCAAGGATAGCCTTGGATCCTGTAATAAGCCCTACCAATAAATTGTATGCTGGGCCACAAAATGCTGTATTGCATTTCTCAAGCATGCTGTTTGTACACAGAGTTTATGGCTGCCACCAAGCTTCAGGATTGTGAATCATCTTTCTTACTCTAATGGGGTTTATTGTTTTATATTTCAGCCTGTATGACTCACAAAAAGAACAATTTATTTGGTCAAGAAATTACTGCATGCCTGTGCCGGCCTTGCTCTTTTAAATGTAGTGCCAGGAAACCAAGCGTAATTGCAGGCATTTGGGGAAACTGTCCATACCAGGAAAAGGACTGGCTGGGTCATTAGCAGCATTTAATTCAGAGTGGAATACTTTTTTTTTTAAATCAAAGCATATAAAAAAGGAAGAACTTCTGACCAAGTAGCATATTTTCCACACATCTATCAGTAATATTTATATTCTTTTTAGTCTCAGTAACATATTTTCTTAAAGGCTGTATATTGTAAAAAAAAATTAATAGTTAAGATTTTTAAAATTCTAGCTTATAAACAATTTTCTTTCAGAAATTGTCTCTTTTTAAGTGATGAAAAAGATCCAGCTCACCAGGGGACCCGGGGGTCCGTCTTGGCCTGCAGCTCCAGGAAGGCCTTGTTCTCCCTACAGAAAAGAGAAATGACTTTTTTAAATGTTAAAAATACAAAAAGGAAAAAAGGAGGCATGACCTATGAATTCCACCACATGGAGAACATCTGGGAGGGCTGTAAGCAGTTGTGTGCCTTTTTACTGTGTGTAGACCTCCATATACACATACACGAGCATATATACACCTGTGTGTACATAGGTGGATAAACAAAAACCTTATGTCATTGTGCACTTAAGGTTTAGTTTTCTGTTCATCCTTTACAAGTTAGCATTTCACCATGAACTTATTATTAAATATATGATATACTGAAATATTTTAAGAGCATCTGATTTTACATATGACATTTACTGAATTCACCTTAGAAACATCCACACGGTAACTTACAAACGAATGCAAACCACTGTTCATTAATAACTTTCTTAGAAACAATAGCTATTTTCAGAATAGCATCTGTTATCAGAGAGGCTCACCACAGGCCCAGGAATGCCCCGAAGACCTTCCGGACCAGGCTTTCCCGCAGGTCCCTGGGGACCGACTGGGCCCGTTTTTCCAGAAGGACCTTCAGCACCTGCTTCTCCCTGTTAGGAAGGAAGACAGGTGAACTTATTAATAAAGAGAAAGTATTGATATTATTTCATTAAGTGTACTTCGGGTATAAGTACTGCCCAGTGTATGCGTGAGACTCTGAACGCCATACCTGGTCACATCACAGGTATAAATATACGTGCGCATTTTACCTTAGCTCCTTTCTCGCCCTGTCGACCCTCTGCACCTGCAGCTCCAGGAGGACCCTGTAAGCATAAAATCACATTTAAAATACATCACAAGTGAAAGTAATAAAACTCCGGACTTATCTGAAAATACCCCAATTTAATTAGTGACAAACCAAAAAAAAAAAAAAAAATTCTGTTGCTATTTCTTTTAAAACACAGGAGCAAAACCCAAATTTTTGTTACGTATCAACTTCACACATTTGGGTAGACAACAGATAATCCCTTCACATCAATGTAAGGAAATAGTAAAAATTATGTTTCCAAAGAAACACCGATGGATTAAAAGTCACCCTTTGTGTGTTAAACACTCAGATATCATTTATTAGTGAGACGAACCGAATTTATCAGATTTCACTTTCATCCCTATTGTGTTTTCAGAGTGGCTTCGAACTTAATCTTAGACCATCCAGATGTTCATGTGTTCTTAGAGCATCATGAGCCAAATAAAGAAACGTTTTAAATCACAATGGTCGACAGATGCAATATTTTCATTTACTGGATTTATATAACTCATATAAATCAGTGGCAATAATATTGGTATCACTTTTTTAAAACCTGGTATTGAAGAAAAATAGAAAAACCATCTTTACACTGAAGTTGTCATTCAGAAGCATAAGCACAGACAGATTAAAAAAAGAAACTTAATTATGTCCAAGAAATTGCTTTTTATATTTTCCTCAGACTCTCTTGTTTTCCATTTATTTACTTCAATTTTCACAGTAAATTGTGCTCGAAACCATTAGCTGAGATTGGGGCTGAAGGTTGGCGTTAATTGGTGAGAATAAAGCAAGCCAAGAGGACGACCTTCTCTTTTCCAGATGCTGTTAATATTCCATCGGTGAATACATGCCAGCCTTTCCTATAGGGTCTTGTAAATCCACTTTTAAAGTGAGAATCAAGGACGTCATCAAACTCAAGACAATTCCATGAACAAACTTCATCTCTGAGAGACTCAAAGACATCTTTAGTAATTTTTTCTGACTATCATCCCTGTAACTTCATCTATTAATAGACATTCAATGTACCTCAACCCAAAGAAACACATACATTTTATATGCAGTCATTTAAGGAGGCAGCAATACGTTGAATATAGAAAACCTCAAAGCAAAACTTTTTAATTTCATACTATTTATGCAGGAGGAATTCTGTAGGGAATCATAAGCTTCAAATTTTTCCCAGTGTCAAAATGTTGAACCATAAATTATCCTTGTGTAATTTTTGAAATACTAACTTATGCAAAGTAGATAAACAGACCATAATTGCTCTTATTTCGTAAATAGGAATAATTAAATTCAACAAATAATAGCTTTTCCTTCATTGATGAAGGTTTTTTTCCTTAATCTAGTGGCATAAAGTTACGCAGTCTTAACCTGAAAGAGTTAATTTATACACATGAATTATATAGTAGAGAGTATTGATCTATACTTAGCTTTAACAAAAGCAAGTTACCCACTGTCTAAATATTAAAAAAAAAAAAACACCTTTATTCCAAAAGAGAAAAGACAACCAAGTTTGAAGATCCAGTAGTCACTATAGTAACAGATTTTCCTATCCATGAAAAATATTCTTCATATAAAATACCAATATAATCTTTCCACTTCAACTTTTTCAATGGTTCTCTAGAATTCATTCATTCCCCCACTCATGTTGCAAACATTTAAATATTCCTCATTTTCCAAAAATGTGCTATGTATGTAGAATACAAATAAAAAAACAAAATTAAACCCCAAGGAGTTCATGAAATTTGGTTACAAAGATAGATATAAAAATTAACAAGTGCAACACATCGTAAAATATAAAGATGTGATAGGTGCAAAACAGGTGCCATGATCCAGTTTGGGAGTAGGAGAGGTATTCCTGAAACACTAACCTCTGATCTGAATTTTACGGTATAGGTAGGTGGGGGACAGGTGTTTCCTTCTAAGACTTTACCTTCTGATCACACATAAGGATTGAAAGTACATAATAATCTTTTTTTTTTTTGATAGAGACAGTCTCACTCTATCACCCTCGGTAGAGAGCCATGGCATTACACAGCTCACAGCAACCTCCAACTCCTGGGCTTAGGTAGTTCCCTTGCCTCAGCCTCCTAAGTAGCTGGGACTACAGGCATCCCCCTACAATGCCCAGCTATCTTCTAGTTGCAGTTTGGCTGGGGCTGTGTTTGAACCCGCCACCCTCGGTATATGGGGCCAGTGCCCTGCCCACTGCACCACAGGTGCCGCCCCATAATAATCTTTAGAGAACTTGTAATAGTTCAGTCAGGATGTTAGCCAGGAGGTGCCTGTCCATTTGTGTTGGTGCACTGAGACAGAATTATTAGGGAGCATGATTATGTGGCGGCTTGAGACTTGTGTGGGGAAAAAGGAAAATCAGCAAAAGACAGAAACATGAAGGAGAATGTTAACTAAATATTAGCAAAATAAACTGCAAATTTAGTATAAAGCTAAATATTTGGGTAAACATTTTCAAATATATTAATGGACAAGTGTTCTCACTTTTCATATTTAAAGAATTAGAACAGCTTTTTCCAGACAATATTAAAACCCACTAGTATTTAGAATATTTCAAAAATAAAGTGAAATAAATCTAATTCAGGATTTTTCAGAACCTTTAGTATCTGCTGAACAATGAATCTCCAAGATTGGTGTATAATCTGTAGTGGTTTTCAACTTCAATGTAGACCCTGTTTTTCATAATGACTTTTCTTAAGTGGCATAGAGTTCTAACAAACAGAATTTAAGAAATTTTAGAATTTACTTTATTATGATGATGTATTTTCTACCTATACGTTTATATAAGAATTTTTCAAGAACCTGGTGAAAGCCGAGTCAGAATTTGTAATTTTAACTAACAGCGTGTATCTCTTTAATGTTATATAAATATACGTGTGTATAAATACATACATGTACACTAGGCATATGTAGGATATATAAATATATATGTAAGCTGTGAGTTATACATGGCATATGTGTGTACATGTGTGTGTGTAAGTATAAGGTTAAAGCTTCATTTATCTTCATAATCAATTATTAATATCAGTTATTGTTTTAATTTTTCATTGTAAACTTTTCTTTGGCAATATGAGCCATTAATATGTACATTTTCTGGGTTATAATGTTTAAACTATTTTAGTCAACTCTAAACTTTTTGTTTTTAAATGAAAGGGCATGGGACGAGCTAAAATAATAACGCAAGTATTCAAATACCACGGACTACTGATAGAAGCTGTGGAAATCTTCTAGTGCCTTAAGGAAATATACATTTAATCTCAAGTATTACAAATGCATGAAAGAAAATGCATGTACTAAAAATGATAACTTAATTCTCCGCCTTGTTCAATAACCATTAGAATGTACTTTCTCAGTATCACTGCCACTCACCACATCGTGATCAATATTCTATTAGGAGGTTTTATGATCATTCACTTGTAAGATTCACTCACAGAAAAAAGTGGTAATTCTTTGAACATTTCTAGTCATCCCTATTTCTGCTATGAGATGTTATAGCAAAATTGTTACACTTCAGTTGCCTCCAGGGGGGGAAAGTAAGGATAGGAGAAATGTAAATTTCTACAAAATATATGCAAATCTAACATAACATCACAAGTTCTAGATGGACTAAAGAAAAATAAGTTGCAAGGCAATTCTGTATTCAATCAAATTATCAGCCTGTAGATCACATTACTTTGTTGATAGGAATATACTCTTCATTATTATTATTATTATTATTATTATTAAATCATAGCTGTGTGCAACAATGCAATCATGGGGTATAGAGTGGTGTTTTGATATACACTTTGAGCTATTTTCATCAAACTGGTCAACATAGCCTTCATGTCATTTTCTTAGTTGGTTTGTCAAGACATCTATATTCTATTTTTAGAAAGATTCACTTGTACCCTTGTAAAATAAACCATAGAGGTGATCCCTCTTGCTATTTGCTCAAAAGTAATTAAATTGACTACTACATCAGGACCTGCAGTCTGCTGACCGAACCCAAAGATTTGTAGCGACAGAATTCGCAATATTGTTTCAGAACATAGAATTCACTCTGCACTACCTCTACAGTTAGATGCTGTTATAACTAATGTGTGTAAACAAAGCTACCTCACATATGTATAAACAGACTGATCTCACTTACGTCAGTACTTTGAAGTTATCAAATACGTTCTTCTAAATTAACTCTCAGTTTCATCACATTATTATTTCTCACACTGGTCCTAAACATCTCTTGTTTGGCAAATCCATTTTATTAAAAAAATATATGCAGTTATCATGAATTTAAACGCATCCCTTTTAGGCAATAGTTCTCAAAGGAGATTCCTTTACTATACAGGATGACCATAAAGTTTGTGTGCAATTTAAAACAGTTTAATATTATATAAAAGAGTGTAATATTACACACAAAACATGTGTTACATGAATTTGCACTGAGGAATAAATAAGATGAGTAAGTACAGATTTCAATAGTATTACAAAATACTGTTATTTGAAAACATAGTTAATATTTTACATATATTATATATATTTTGATTTAATAGCATATATTTTGCTTAACAATACTATCCAGTGTTTGAGCTCCTGATAAATTGGTGTTTTAAATAGACATTTTATTAACTTATATTATTCCTCATTTCAGCATTGAGAATTAGTTATTATGCAACAAAATTTTACATGGAGGTGGCCAACACATATGGACTATTTTGTAAATATTTTGTAAAGTTTTGTAATAAATATTTTGTAAATAAAGGTGCATTTAGCTGCAAAAATCTCATTTTCTCAATGTATGGGAACTTTAGAGGTGACTTTTGAGACCTCCTGAAGTTTGGTTGGCTACGAGAGGACAAGAATTGTTAGTGTCAAACCAGAAAAAAAATCACAGTTTTAGTAATAAGATTATTGACATTAATTTTTCACACCCCTAAAATGTGTTTTACTGTAATGAAGAAAATAGATTATTGTGTAGAACAGATGAACTCAATTAAGGATGCCAGGTTATCCAAACCTAGTATAGGC